GGACTTCCCTGGCGGTCCAGCGGTTAAGACGCCATGATTCCAATGCAGGGGATGAAGGTTCAATCCCTGGTCAGGGAACTAAGATTCCACATGCCTCATGGTGCAGCCGAAAAATTTAAAAAGCAAATGAAAAAAGAGAGAAGGAAGGAAAGAAAGAAAGAAAGAAGGAAAGAAAGGGAAAGAAAGAAAAGAAACCACTGAACTGAACGACCTGAAGCCTCTTCACTGGAGGACCCCACTCCACACTGCTGAGAACTATTCCAGACGGACACTGCCAGAGCTCTGTCGGAGCAGAAGGTGACCTTCCACTCACTCTTGTTGCGAGACCAGTTACAGACCTGGAGACAGCTGCTGGTGCTGAGATACCTCGTTCCCAGACGTAGTGATGTTAACCCCTTTCCTATTTTCCCTACTTTGTGCTAATTGTGTGCAATAAACCCGAATGATTCTCGAATTGAGTATTGGCTACTTTTGGTATATTTCCAATTCTGTGATTCTTACCTGGCCTTACTGCTGGGCCCTGCAATAAACATCCTATCTTGAGGAGGCCTTGGTAGCTGTGCAAGTTTGTGTTGTGCTGTTTTCATGACCCAAAATATAATGAACCGCTGGTATGGAGAGTCACGTGCTCAGGGTCTAAAGAGTTTCTGTTTCTGGGAGAGCCCAATGGGTAACTAGTCATTTGTTGTTTTGCTGTTTTAATGATTTATTTATAGAGTTGAGGAGGGCTAGATTTTTTTCATCAGAAGTTCAGGGGTAACTAATGACTATCATAAGTTGTCCAGAGACTCGATGGGGCATGAGATGGGGTTACTGAAGTTTCTTTAGTGCAGGAATCTCTGAGTGCACAAATGGGAGTGGCTGCTGATTTCAGTTTGGAGGTAAAATTTATAAATAAGAATATGTTGCCATCAAAAGTACTAAAAGATGTTGGACTTGTATGTCCATGATGAGTGTGTCAAATAAGTCTTCTTGGAGGTAGATGTCCTCAATGTAAGGTCATACCTGTGCTCCTGGAGAAAGGTGAGTACAATGATGATCCTGTGTCTGAAAGGATTGTGTGTGATGACAAAGCTGTTGATGTACCCAATGGGCATCCTAGAAAGGATGTATTGTGTCACTTCGGAGGTGAAGGCAAACTACAGCTGAGAGGCTGCTGATCTCAAGGGAGGTCTCCCAGTTACCACACCACCTACACCAGGTTTTCAGCTCAAGCCTGACAAATAGTGAGCCTGGTTTAGGTGCAGAGGTGTCAGCTTCTGCTACTCCAGGGAGCCTTTATAAATAATTAGTCAGTTTGTCCAGGCAGACTTGCATGATGGGGAGAGATAGCATTGACTATTCGTCCCCTTACCCCTGCCAAGCTTTGACAGGGGCCAGGTCCTGCAGAGTTGTCACAGGCCCAGGAATTTAGGGTAGGAAGATAAAGTCACTCTTGGAACAGACAATACAGAGCCTCACAAAGTATTGCCCACAGGACTCCCCTGGTGGTCCAGTGGTAAGACTCCAAGCTCCCAATGCAGGAGGCCCAGGTTCGATCCCTGGTCAAGGAACTATATCCCGCGTCATGCCACAACTAAGAAGCCTGCAGTCCACAACTAAGACCCGGCGCAGCCAAAAAAATATACTACATAAATAAATATTAAACCAAAAACAAAAACAATCCAAATTAGTGCCCACGACTGCCAGCAAAAGGTAGAGCTTTCCCAGTGTTAAAATAAAAAAACAGAGACGAGCCTTGAAAATTCCGCGAGCAGACAAAACCAGTTTAATCTTACAAAAACAGTGCTTAATTTAGCTTATCTTGCAAGACTAATTTGTCCTGGGTCATTTCTGGCTTATGCCTTCAGAAATTATAAGCAAAACTTGAACTGTTTCTCAAGGTTGGCGTGAGGTAACTACTGACCAATCTCCTATCATTTAAGAAAATTCTAACACCATAAGCAATCAATAAGATGAATAAACAGTCCCTGCTTTCTCATTATCTAAGTTGCTTTGTAACAATATACCCCTGCTTCTCATACTACATTTTGGTATGAGTGTTCCTCGTTTGCATACTGTCTTTTTGGTGTGTGTACAATAAACTTTCACAAATTACTGCTTTGGTGATTCATTGGTTTTACTTCTGTTATTCATGAACTTTTGACATCAGATGGTGTTGCTAGTAATCCCTGAGCATCATGGGGGTCTCCTCCTGTCCCAAACTAAACTATTCTCTCCATGAGGACACTTGTTCTAAAAATAGAAATGCTGGATATGGTACAGTAATGTTGCTGTGGCCACAAAAGTAAGGGAGATTGAGGCTTGGAAGGAAGTTTATTTTGCTCACAGTGTCCAGAGAGGAGTTGTTACCATATGCCACCCAGTGCCATATTTCACCCAGGAAAAAACACCAGAGTTGTCAGGAGGCAGAAGAAATGAGGGAGGGGAAGGTCTACACCAGATCCTTTATGGGGTTTCAAGGCAAAGGAAGGCAAGGGCAGAGTAAACAGTTTAAGATTGGGTACTTGAATAACTCAGGTGAGACTTAGGGCACAGGGGTGATCTCTAGTTGCCTGGAGCCTGGCCCTGGGATGATTAGGGCAGAGGAATATTGTGGAGTAAGATATGTAATATGGATTAAACAGTGTTCCTTGTTGAGTAGGACACAGTCACTGTCAATACAGGCAAGGGAGACATTGGTTATCAATAGGCTGAAACCTGCACAAAACACATAGCTACTATCGAAACAGAGAGGAGTCGTCAGTTAGATCCATTAAAGTATAACTTGCTTAATAAATACTGAATTGTAAAATGCCTTCACTGATCAAATTTGCTTCAGTTGTTTCTATAAAAACTTGAATGTCATCCAAGCATCACACGGCCTAAACAATTAAGATGTTTGCCGGAGATTTTTTTCACGAACTTGGAGTCAGCTGGGTCCAGTTCAAGCTTGAGCCAGTCAAGACTGATTGGGACAACAAACTCTTCAACTGGGCACGCACGAGTTATCCAATCAGTTACCATTTGACATCAGAGGGCCAAAGACTCCACCCTTGGAACATGCTAACGTCGCCATTTTCTGAACATGAGTCCCATGGAGAAGCATGTAGCTTTGTTGTGCAAAACCATGATTACTTCACCTTTTTCTTATCTCTAATCACCTTCCCCCATGTTCCCCGCACTTCAGGTTTATCCCATAAGTATTCAGAGCCTCTCACCTTCAGGGAGATGGATTTGCAATTTGTTCTGTCTCCTTGTTCGGCTGCCTCATGAATAAACCCTTTACCTGCTCAGCTTCATTCTCTCAGTTCTCATACTTCAGTACTCAGGCTCAAAATTACCTTTTTACAGCTATTGTAAATGTTTCCTCAGAGCTATTTTCTCCACTCTCTTCAAATAGCTGCAGAATCATTATCAATAACTCTCGGGAATTTTTTTCACTGATAATGTCAACTCCCTGTGCAGATACCTGGTGCACACCCCTGGTGATCACGTCACAGCAAGGAGATGACCTCATGGTGTCCCAAACATTTATCTCAGGTATCATATGACCCATTTTGGGCTCATGCTCCCAATGTGACGATGATGGTCACTGTTCAGGCAGGAAATAGCATTCGAATGGTAGCACTTCTTTTCTAAGCAATTCTATATATGGTGGTATTGTTACAGACCAGGGTTCTTGGCCTTCCCCAATAAATAGAAATTGACTAGAGGCCAGACAAGAAATTCAGGCAAGGCTTTATTGAGGCCCCTGCTGCAGCAGGGGGCAGTGAGAACAAACAACAAGTTCCCTTGCTTGCCGGATCCCCAAGGGGGAGCAAGCTTGTTCCTTATATGGGGTGAGGGAATGGGTCTGTCCAGGCGTCTGGCTGGAGGGGCAGCTTAGGTGTTTTGCCCACCTTATGTGGTGCTGTATGCAGGGGGGCTTGCACAGTACCCTGCTCTTGCTCCCAACACCCTGTTTTTGCTCCAGGCCCTTCAAAAATGGCAGTTGGGTTTTTTTGGTCTCTTTGTATCTTTTGGTTCCAGAATTTGCCCCAACCGCACATGCACGCAGTTATTTTCAGTCCCATACAATTTCTTCGTATTTTGTTGCTTGAGGAGAGGTGTGTCCAGGTGCAAGAACTTCAGCACTGCAGCAAAGGGTCCCAGGTCCCAGCCCGTCTCAGTATACCAAGTAAGAAATATTACCTGGAAAAAAGTGCTACTTCCTGGGATGAATACAATCACTGATTATACAGGCAGGAGAAAAGTTTTCTGAGGAAATCTATCTACTGGCTCCAGAGTACCTCAACATCCCTCTCTCTTCTTCCACTCCATGGCCCTGTCTGGAATATTTCCTCTTTTGTCCCTAACAAGAACTGGAAGTAACAACACTGAACCTAAAGCTTCAGTCCAAATGTATTATTTTTTAACATTAAAAATACATTTATTTATTTGTTTTGGCTGTGCCAGGTCTTAGTTGCAGCATGCGGGATCTTTAGTTGTGGCATGCATGTGGGATCTAGTTCCCCGACCAGGGATGGAACACAGGGCCCCTGCGTTGGGAGCGTGGAGTCTTACCCACTGGACCACCAGGAAAGTCCCCAGAATGTATTTAAAAGGCAACAAGGTAATGGTTACTAGCTCCCAGGTATGAATGGATGAGAGAAACTTGGTGTGGTGTGTCCTTTTGGTTTTGCAGCTTTCCAGACTATCTGAAATAATATGACTCCAAACATTTATTTAATTAGTGCAGACAGCAATCCACGGAATCTGCGTGCGGGCCCTTGAAGAGGAGCTAAGCCTCGCCCCATCCTCGGGAATTAGGTGTACCACTTAAAAACCCCTTTTGTGGTACCCAGCCTTTCCCCAGGAGCTCAGGCCCAGGCCGTGAAACTGAACCTGTGCCTAGGCCGATGGTTCACCAAGACCTACATTACCCAGAAGGCTCTGCGCCACACGTCCAATGAAGGCCCGGGAGAGGGGCGTTACCGTGCGTGCGGAAGACGTCGGAGCGGGACTTCCGGCATCTTAGGCGCAACCAGACATTTTGTCGGTTCTTGTGAGGATCTAAGCGCTAGGGGGCTCTTGAATGCTTGGTCTGGACCGAGGGTGGAGGAATCGGGAAGACGCGTGAGTAGGCGTTGTCCCCGCCGCTCGGAGGCGAGACAAAGTTCGGCGGTGGCGACGCCTGCCTTGACCCTGCCGCCGGGGCAGGGCTTGGGACCGCGGTATCCAGGTCCTCAATCCGGATGCCTGCCTCTCCCGGCGCACTCCGCCCACAGACCCCGATGGCGGCGGCCGCGCTGAGGGAACCCCCTCAGGTACACGCTCCTCCGGGCCCTCAGCGCCCTCACCCCACCAGACACTAAAGCCCCGAGTGCGGGGCGCCTGCTCCCGTGCCTGCACCCCAGGCCCGGTGTCCGGGATTGTGGGGTCCCTGTTTCTGACAGTGTGATTGTGCGTGTGAGAGGGGGTCAGGCAGAGGGACCGACAGGTGCAAAGGCTTGGAAGTCGGACTGAGCCAGAGGCATTGGGGAGATCGGGGATCCGTGTCGTGTCAGCACCGAGCAGGATGTGAGGAGTCACACCTGGGTTGAGGAGTTGTACTTTCATTCTGAGGGCTCTGGGAGCCATAAGAGTTTCGAATAGAAGGAGTACTTGATCTGAGTGGAGATTTTAAAACTACCCCACATTTTGCGCTGGGCGAAACAGACTAGGTTGGGGCAGGGAATGTGAGGATGGATGCGTGGAGATTGGTAAAGACGCTACTGCAGCGGCTTCAAGAAATGTTTTGACGGTGGATGGACTCGAGAGCCAGGAGAGGGGGAAGAAGTGATCAGGTTCTGGATATATTTTAAAGATACCACCAACAACATTTCCTCCTGCATCAGATGAGGCTGTGATTGATAGTAAGTGAAAAAACATGTTTTAAATTTTTTCGTTTTTGTTTTCATGGACATTTTGAAAATGGAAATCAGGAAGTCAAACTAGGGAGCAGGTTTCAGAGTGGACATGGTTGATTCTGAGACACCCCAGAGTGGAGGTGTCACATGAGCAGCTGGACTGGAAGGTCTGTCGTTCTGGAGAAGGGGCTGGGTTGGAGATGTCCACAGGGTGTAGAGAGTGGTCTGGACTAGGTCAAGGCCTGGAGATCAGATTTAGGGGTAGCAATCCTTTTTTTAATATATAAATTTATTTATTTTTAAAATTTGTGCCTGCGTTGGGTCTTTGTTGCTGCGCATGGGCTTTCTCTGGTTGTGGCAAGTGGGGGCTACTCTTTGTCGCGGCGCGCAGGCTTCTCACTGTGGTGGCTTCTCTTGTTGCGCAGCACAGGCTTTAGGCGCACGGGCTTCAGTAGTTGTGGCTCGTGGGCTCAGTAGTTGTGGCTCGTGGGCTCTAGCATGCAGGCTCAGTAGTTGTGGCACACGGGCTTAGTTGCACCGCAGCATGTGGGCTCTTCCCAGACCAGGGATTGAACATGTGTCACCTGCATTGGCAGGATGATTCTTAACCACTGCGCCACCAGGGAGGTCCCATGGGTAGCAATCTTAAGTATGTTATTTCAAATGGTCCTTGGGGTGAGAGGGGAGGGCTGTGGATGGAGGTGGGGGGGGAAGGATGGGCATTTCTGAGACTTCCCTCCACAAAGGAGGGGCATTCTGTTTATCCAGTGTCTGCAAGAGGAGAATGCTTTGTAGGGCACAAGGAACCTGGCCTGGCAGAAGAAGATGGGGTGTCGTAAAATAGCTGCCTGATGACAGTTACCCTTGCTTTTGAACAACCTGTTCTAAGAGAAACACACACTGAAAAGCTCCTCCAGTGCCAGGAGTGATTCCACTTTACTCAGTCTTGCCAAAGCCACAAAATCCCTCAAATGCCATATGATAGATTGTCCCAGCCTCTGTGTGTGTGTGTGTGTGTTTGTGTGTGTTTAATTAACTTTTATTGGAGGGTAGTTGCTTTACAATGTTGTGTTAGTTTCTACTGTACAGCAAAGTGAATCAGCTATATGTAGACATATGTCACCCCTTTTTTGGATTTCCTTCCCATTTAAGTCACTGCAGAGCACTGAGTAGAGTTCCCTGAGCTATACAGCAGGTTCTCATTAGTTATCTCTTTTATACATAGTATCGATAGTGTATATATGTCAATTCCAATCTCCCAATTCATCCCACCACCACCCCCCTTCCCTCCTTGGTGTCCATACGTTTGTTCTCAAAGTCTGTGTCTCTATTTCTGCTTTGCAAATAAGATCATCTATACCATTTTTCTAGATTCCACATATATATGTTAATATACAATATTTGTTTTTCTCTTTCTGACTTACTTCACTCTGTATGACAGTCTCTAGGTCCATCCACATCTCTACAAATAACCCAATTTCGTTCCATTTTATGGCTGAGTAATGCATTGTATATATGTACCACAGCTTTATCCATTCCTCTGTTTATGAACATTTAGGTTGCTTCCATGTCCTGACTATTGTGAATAGTGCTGCAGTGAACATTGGGGTGCCTCCTTGTGTTTTAGTCTTTGTTATTTATTTATTTATTTATTTGGTTGTTCCGGGTCTTAGTTGTGGCAGGATCTTCGATCTTCGTTGTGGCTTGTGGGATATAGTTCCCTGACCAGGGATCGAACCCGGGCCCCCTGCATTGGGAGCACAGAGTCTTAGCCACTGGACTACCAGGGAAGTCCGTCTCCTTGTTCTTGACTAAATGTTCCAAGGAGGACAGGCTTCTTGCCTCACAGGAAGTTCCTACCAAAGAATTCCTCTAACAAGTGGTCCCAACACAGGAAATGTTTCTGCCCACACTTCTGTATACTATTTGTAATTTTAATTAGTGTAGGAGAGGCAAAACTCTATCTCTGCCAATCTTAGGTTTTCAGCTGGGTCTCCTTAAGAAAAAAACAGACTAATGAGAAAACAGTATATTAATATGTGCAGCACACAACACATGGGAGAAACCTAAACCAAAAGTAACTGGAATTGGTGACTCAGAATTCTAGTTTATATTAGTATCTTCGACAAAGAAGAGTAAATTTGTAGACAGATGACAGAACGAAGAAAAGCAGTTTTAGGCTTCCAAGGGCAGCAAACCGAGAAGGTAAATATGGAGGAGGAACCTAATATTGTGTGGTTTGATTGCAGATTCCTTTGGTGCCAGTCTCTGGGCTGATAATCTGTCTCCAATAAAAGGAGAATTTATATCTTGCCTTTAGGTAGAAAAGGGGGAGCTTTTTCTGTGTTTGCTGTTTCTTACTGCCTTCAGCTCAAAATAATTTTTATGTCAAAGAGGCATATTTTGGGGTGATATTATTCTGATCTTCTTCATGAGCTACAAAACAGCCAGGAAAGATAGTTTGTGTTATTGAAATTCCTATATTATTCCCCCTTTGTATACTCTATCCAGTTGATTTTATGAGAGAATTAAGCATTAGTATCCCAAGGAATCCATTGTAGGTAGTGAACTGATTATTCTTCTATGCATTTAGACTGGTCCTAGGCATGTACTTCCCTTCGGGTATTTAAGACAGTATCCACTGAAATCATTTTCTGTGGGCACAAATTCTCTCATGGAACCCCATTTGAGAAAGGCTGCTAAAGATTATGGTCTCACCAATTCTATTGTGTATGGGTGGGTTTTCTTACACCAATAAGCAATTCTCTCACGCCAGCTAAGTGTCCTATAATTCAAGTCAATTCTGACACCGTTTATGCAGAGATAGCATCAGATCCCACAGGTTAAGGTCTCAGTCCCATAAGACTCCCCCCACCCCACACACACCCTTTCAGACACCAGTCATTAAGTCCATGTTTTCACCTGGGTTTCTGAACTGATTGGAGGTTCCAACAGCCTCCTTTTCGGGTTCAATCAATTTTCTTATAGTGGCTCACAGAACTCAGAGAAACATTTTACTAACTAGATTACCAGTTTATTATAAAAAGATATAACCCAAGAACAGCCACATGGAAGAGATGCATACAGGGAAAGGTATGGGGAAAGGGTGCAGAGTTCCCATGCACATTGCTCTTCCTGCATCTCCATGTGTTCGTCAACTTGGAAGCTCTCGGAACCCTATTCTTTTGGGGTTTTATGGAGGCTTCATTTCACAGGCATGATTGATTACATCCTTGACCATTGGCGATTGAACTCAGTCTCCGACCGCTCTACCCCCTCAGAGGCCAGGGGGTAGGACTGAAAGTTCCAACCCTCTAATCATGTGGTTGGTTCTCCTGGAAACCAGCCCCACCATCCTTTTGTGCTTTCCCAAAGTAACCTCATAAGGGCATTTTTATTGCTCTTCTCACTTAGGAAATACCTAAGGTTTTAGGAGTTCTGTGCCCAAAACCTGGACAAAGACCAAATACGGGAACTTCCCTAGTGGCACAGTGGTTAAGAATCCGTCTGCCAGTGCAGGGGACACGGGTTCGAGCCCTGGTCCGGGAAGATCCCACATGCCGCGGAGCAACCAAGCCCGTGCGCTACAACTACTGAGCCTGTGCTCTAGAGCCCGTGAGCCACAACTACTGAAGCCCGTGCTCCACAACAAGAGAAGCTACTGCATTGAGAAGTCCGTGCACCACAACAAAGAGTAACCCCCACTTGCTGCAACTAGAGAAAGCCCGCGCGCAGCAACAAAGTCCCAACGTAGCCAAATAAATTTATTTTAAAAATTAAAAGACCAAATACGTATTTATTGTTATAAATCATATTATTACACTGCTCTAGTAAACAAATATGCATATATTCATAGAGAATTCATAAAGCTTGAGATCTGTGTTGTGGCTTCATTTTTCCCTTTGTGAATGTAATTTTTCAAATGTTCAACAGTGTAAAATCAAGATGAATGTGTATCTTCTGAATGTTATAGTATTATTATTTTTTTAAATATTGACATATGTCGTGAATTTTAAATTTTATTTATTTATTTATTTATGGCTGTGTTGGGTCTTCGTTTCTGTGCGAGGGCTTTCTCTAGTTGTGGCAATCAGGGGTCACTCTTCATCGCGGTGCGCGGGCCTCTCACTATCGTGGCCTCTCTTGTTGCGGAGCACAGGCTCCAGACGCTTAGGCTCAGTAATTGTGGCTCACGGGCCCAGTTGCTCCGTGGCATGTGGGATCTTCCCAGACCAGTGTTCGAACCCGTGTCCCCTGCATTGGCAGGCAGATTCTCAACCACTGTGCCACCAGAGAAGCCCTGAATGTTATATTTTTAATATCATTTATATGCTTATTCTTTGTCTGATTTATCCCTTTCTAAGAAGATAAAAGCGAGTAAATTATACATTTGTACCCACAATTCTTTTTCAGTTTTATTGCTTTAAATATCTCATATATTTAAATTATAGGGAGAGATTGTCAGACTGTATTAAATGCATGGGCAAACTCCATGCAACCTATAACAAATGATCTTTAATTACAAACATAAGTATATGCTAAAAGGAATGGAATGAAATAAGACATGAATATTAACCATAAGAAGGTTGGAGAGGTGGACTTCCCTGGTGGTGCAGTGGTTAAGAATCTGCCTGTCAATGCAGGGGACACGGGTTTGAGCCTTGGTCCGGGAAGATCCCATATGCCACGGAGCAACTACGACCATGCGCCACAAGTACTGAGCCTGAGCTGTAGAGCCTGTGAACCACAACTACTGAAGCCCACGCACCTAGAGCCTGTGCTCCGCAACGAAAGGCCACAGCAATGGGAAGCCTGCACACCGCAACGAAGAGTAGTCCCTGCTCACTGCAACTAGAGAAAGCCCGCATGCAGCAACAAAGACCCAATGCAGCTAAAAATAAATAAATATATTTTAAAAAGAGGGTTGGAGAGGTTATATTAATATAAGAAAATGTCAACTTTAGGAAAAATAACATTACCAAAGGTAACATAGGGACATCTTATTAAACAAGTAATTTAAATCAAGAAGATTTTAAAATGCTAAATGGGGAATTACCTGGTGCTCCAATGGTTAGGACTCTGTGCTTCTACTGCAGGTGGCACAGGTTCTATCCCTGGTCAGGGAACAAAGATCCCACAAGCCATGTGGTGCTGCCACAAATGAATGAATGAATGAATGAATGAATGAATATGCTAAATGTATTTGTACCTGAGAACAGGCTTTCAAAATTCTTTCAATAATTAATAGAATAGGCAGGAAAACTGTAAGGATATACAAGACATGACCAATATCATCAGCTAACTTGATTCAGTAGATATGTATAAAACATTACTCCAGTCTATAGCAGAATACACATTCTTTTCAGGTACACATGGTACATTCCTCCAAGATAAACCAAATGCTAGGGACATAAAATAATTTTCAGTAAGCTTTAAAATTGAAGCAGTATAGAATATATTCTCTAAATAAAGCAAAACTAAATTAGAAATTTTAAAATATCCTAGAAAATCCACAGACATTTAAATTTTAAAGAACTGTTAAGTATCAAAGAGTAAAAGAAATAAGGAAACCAATAGGAGATAAATTAGGAGCATATTTTTGTGAAACAGGCAAGAATAATTTTTTTTTAACTTTTTTTTGGCCGTGCCATGAAGCATGTGGGATTGAACCTGTGTTCCCTGTGTTGGAAGCACGGAGTCTTAACCACTGGACTGCCAGGGAAGTCACAAGAACAATTTAAATGTATCAGTAACAAGCAAAATATATTGTGTCGAAAATTAACGAATGTATTTCTTTTAGAATTGCAGCCTTCTATTCTGTAAAGCCCGTGACAGCCAAAATTTAAAGAGTGAAAGACTGGGGCTTCCCTGGTGGCGCAGTGGTTGAGAGTCCGCCTGCTGATGCAGGGGACACGGGTTCATTCCCCGGTCCGGGAAGATCCCACATGCCACAAAGCGGCTGGGCCCGTGAGCCATGGCCGGTGAGCCTGCGCGTCCGGAGCCTGTGCTGCGCAACGGGAGAGGCCACAACAGTGAGAGGCCCGCGTACAGCAAAAAAAATAAATAAATAAACAAAGAGTGAAAGACTATATCTTCAATGTCTAAAACTGCCATGGGATGAACACACAGGGCATAGGAACACACAGGGCATAGGAGGAAATCGCATTGGTTAGAACAACAAATACAACTCCAACCTAAATGACCAAAATAGGAGCAATCAATGGAAGAAGGAATCAAGGTGATTATCAGGCATATGACAAGGTTTACAAACACATTGATATTTTAGAACTGCATACCAAATACAACTGTCTTTATAAAACACATAATAGAATGTAAAGATGGGCTTCCCTGGTGGCGCAGTGGTTAAGAATCCGCCTGCCACATGCCGCGGAGCAAGTAAGCCTGTGTGCCACAACTACTGAGCCTGTGCTATAGAACACGTGAGCCACAATTACTGAGCCCGCGAACTGCAACTACTGAAGCCCGCATGCCTAGAGCCCGTGCTCCACAACAAGCGAAGCCACTGCAGTGAGACGCCTGTGCATCGCAACAAAGAGTAGCCCCCCTCGCCACAACTAGAGAAAGCCTGCGCGTGGCAACGAAGACCGAACACAGCCAAAAATAAATAAATAAAATTAATTAATTAAAAAAATAGAATGTAAAGAAAATTGTAAGACATCTGAAAATTTCTGTAGAACTATCCTCATGAAAATAGACATAAATATCATTAAGATAGTATTAGCAAATAAAATTCAGCAGTGTGTAAAAAGAATTATATACCATGGCCAAGAAAGATTTCTTTCAGTGGTGCCAGGTTTGTTTAATATTAGAAGAGCAAAGAATGTTCCAACATATTAACAGGCTAAAGAAAAAAAAAGAAGAAAAATCACATCATATCAATTGATGCAGAAGACTCACTAGCATAACTGAATGTAGCCAAGTGCTGTGTACAGTTCTCTTTCTCTTTATATATATGTATAAATACACGTGTGTGTGGTAGACAGGGATATAGATGTAAATGAACTGTGTTCTATATGTTAACAATACACAGAAAGCAAAAATTGAATGATTAAAATTTACAAATCTATAGCATAAAAAAGTACTTAGGAATGAATATAATGAAACATGTACATGTTCTTTCATTATATTCATTCCTAAGTATTTTATTGAAAACTACAAAGTTATTTTTTCAGTATTACTGAAAACTTCAAAGTTTAGTTGAAATCTACAAAAACACTTCTGCTGAGGGAAATTAAAGATGACCTAGACGAATGGAGCAATCTTTTCCATAGAATTCAGTGACTGCAATTTTTCCCTTTTCCCAGGGTTTAGTGCTCACTTTGGACCCCAGTATCAAGTGGTGGAATCCTGTTGGAGACTGGATCTGGTAAGTTTGAGTCATGGGAATTCAGGCTGAGCTTCCACTTACTACACAGATCCAATTGGAGCCAGTTTACCTGAGGATAGTTGGGGGAGGGGGGGTCTGGTGGGGGTGAGGTTCTGGTTCCTGGAGGAATTGAGCACCTGAAATCCTCTGAATCAAGTCAAGAGAATGTGGATGGTCAGGAGTCATTTTCTGTCCTCCATTGGGAAGGGTTTGAAGCACTGTTGGAAGAATGACCAGAGGATGTCATGTAATTCCCCAGGTAATAATCCCAAAAACCATGTGCTGTGAATACTGTTATTTCCCCGTTTCAGAAATGAGGGGACTGAAGCTTGGAGAAGTGAGGCTTTCTGCATAAGGTACTATAATCAGTAATGGGGTTACCAGCTGCAAACCCAGGTAAGCCTCCCCCTAGAGCTCAGCCTGTGAAGTCAGACACTGGACACCATGTGCTAGACTGCATTGAATTTGAAGCCAAACACAACATGATTGGTTCTAATGCAAGTTCAAAGATTGTGAATTTGAAAGTAAGATATAGAAGAATTATGCTACAACCCTATGCTGTACTTAATCCTGAGGGAAAAATTTGGGGTTTTTAGATTATTTATTTATTTATTTTATTTTGGCTGCATCGGGTCTTAGTTGTGGCATGTGGGATCTTTCATTGCGGCGTGTGGGTTTCTCTCTATTTGTGGCGCGCAGGCTCTGTAGCTGTGGCACGTAGGTTACAGAGCATGTGGGCTCTGTAGTTTGTGGCATGCAGGCTCTCTAGTTGAGGCACACGAGCGCAGTAGTTGTGGCGCACGGACTTAGTTGCCCCACAGCATGTGGGATCTTAGTTCCCTGACCAGGAATCGAAGCCTCATCCCCTGCACTGTAAGGCGGATTCTTTACCACTGTACCGCCAGGAAAGTCCCAGGAAAATATTTCTTAAACTGTAAATCTTGAATCATCTTGTCTAGAACATATCCCTAGTGCAACTGGCTACCTGAAATTGATAACGTCATTCTGTATGTGTGATTATTTTTTTCTTGAAATAATTTTAAATGGCACAGATTGTACACTGCTATCTTGTAAAATTTTAAATCATTCCTGTTAAGGCTACTCGTACGTTCAGGGTATGTGTATGTGAATTTTTTCTTTTTCTTTTTTTTTTTTTTTTTGCGGTATGTGGGCCTCTCACTGTTGTGGCCTCTCCTGTTGCGGAGCACAGGCTCAAGACGCGCAGGCTCAGTGGCCGTGGCTCACAGGCACAGCTGCTCCGCGGCATGTGGGATCTTCCCGGACCGGGGCACGAACCCGTGTCCCCTGCATCGGCAGGCGGACTCTCAACCACTGCGCCACCAGGGAAGCCCTGTGTATGTGAATTTTGACAGACGCTGCAAGTAGGCAGCCTTGACTCACCTTCTACCACATGGGTACCTGAGAGCCCAGGTTTGTGATGATAAGGACCATGTATTCAGCACTAATCATGCACCTTGCACTGGTTTAATCACTTGATACTTAACCTCACCAAGGTATGGGCACTATTTTTTTCTGCTGTTTTAGTGAATGGACGTTTATGTTTGAGGAATATTTAAACAATTTCACAGAGGTCTGCTAGGGAGGTTTTATCTTCATTTTACATTTCACAACATGGAGGTGAAACTGCTGGCCTTGGGTCCCAAATTCGGAAGGATGAGGCTGGGATTTGCAGGCTGTGAACCTCCAAAACATCTAGCGTTGTATCACGCTCAGGATATGAAGCGCGCACTGGAGATTTTATATGAAGCCGACCCCCACCGGAGGAAAACTGGTGACCGCAAGCACGTAGACCCCAGACGGGTTGAAACCAGAAGATTGCTGATGCTCGAAACTTCACCTTGATGCCAACCAATCTGAGAATTGAGCACAAGTGGATCATGCACCCTGCAGCCCCTCCCTCACATGGCCTTTAAAACCTTTGTCTCCTAACCAGCAACTTGGAGATGGTCTTAGGACATTAGTCCACCAGCTTCCCAGATTGCTGGCCTCCTGAATAAAGCAACTTTTCCTTTTCCACCAACACTTGTTTGTCGAGTATTGGCTTTTCGAGTGGCGAGCAGCCGAACTTGGGTTTGGTACCAAACTCATCCAGTTACAGAGACTCTGAGGTATGAGATGCAGCCTGAGGCTTGGGAGCAACTGGCAGACTAAGACAGTAGGCACTCAATTCCTTTGCCTTCCACCTTCTGACCACAGGCTTCCCCTCAGCACCTGATGTCGAGGTGGAGACTGCAGTACCCAGAATTCTCAGTGCCACAGGGTGTCAGCTGTCTGCCAATCATGGCCCAGGAGAGGGGCCTTTTTCTGTGAGCACTTCCCTTTGGGGCAGGGCTTCCGGTGCCCCATCTCGTTTCTGGGGTTGTAGAATCCTGGAGACGGGAATAGCACCTCCATCCCCTGGTGTGATATGGGCTGTTCCCATCCCTTTTGCCCACAGGCTCCAATGACAGTGGCCAAGCTGATAGCTGAGCCCTCACCTTCCCAATATGTGGGATTACGTGTCTTTGCTCTTCCCTGTCCCAGCAGTTGTGTCTGCAGGCTCTGAGGAGGCAGTCTCCGTCTAAGCCATCGTTACATGGAGAAGTTTCTGTAGAACCCAGAGAGATGCGGTATGGAAGGCGTCCCAGGCATGTTCAGATGCTTGGAGTTGGAGTTGAAGCTGAGCTGTAAGTGTCCAACAACAATTAGTCTCTTTCCTTTCTGGGGGAGACAACATGGGGACAGGTTTCAGGCCTGAAATGGCCAGCTGAGTGTCTTGGCCTCTATTCTGAGGGTGATGGGAGCCATGGGGAAAGTGGAGCAGAGCCTCAGCAGTCTTCCTCTGGCAGCAGAGAGAACAGACAGTGAAGGGCTAGAGTGATGGTGGAGACGGAGTGATGGTAGGTGTGGAAATTATTCACATTTATTCAGAGCTTGCTAATAGCAAGGGAGTTGGGCATCATCACTTGCCTTTAGCTGGGGCTCGAGGGCAGGGGAGGGGGAAGGTGGATTGGCCCCTAAGTTGGAAGTGGGTGTAAAGGGAAGAGGGCAGTTTTGGGGTTTTAAAAAATAAATTTATATATATATTTATTTTTTGGGTCCGTTGGGTCTTTGTTGCTATGCACGGGCTTTCTCTAGTTGCGGTGCGCGGGCTTCTCATGGCAGTGGCTTCTCTTGTTGCGGGGCATGGGCTCTAGGGGCACGGGCTTCAGTAGTTGTGGCATGCAGGCTCTAGAGCACAAGCTCAGTAGTTTTGGCGCACGGGCTTAGTTGCTCCGCGGCATGTGGGATCTTCCCGGACCAGGGCCTGAACCTGTGTCCCCTGCATTGGCAGGAGGATTCTTAACCACTGTGCCACCATGGAAGTCCCAGGAAGGCAGTTTTTATGAGAGTTCTGACCATTTCGGTTCAGTTGCTGCAGAGGTTATAGGTGAGAATTTTATTTTTATATATGGTCACACCACAGGGAAATCAAGGAGGAGACTACTGCAGCAGTCTAAATGAGCATTGATGGGCTGCACCAGAGTGATTGCTGTGAGGGTGGCACAGAGGTTGTGTTCTCATGCTGTTACTTTACTAGGGCTGATTTTATTTTCTGAAGTGGATTGTGAGAGAAGGAAGTAAAGGAGAGATGACCCAAAGCTTTGGGTTTAGCTGCTGGAAGGATGGAAATGCCAGCCACTGAAATGGGGAGGTCTGTTGTAAAGTTAATTTTCAGATAATTAGGTGTAGGAAAGTTGTGACTGGTGTGGGGACAACATGTATGTGATAAGCAGCTTAATGACCTCCCAAAGATGTCCATTTCCTAATCCCTAGAAGCTTTGGACGTGTTATCTCACATGGCAACAGAGAATTTTTTTTTTAATGTTTATTTATTTATTTGGTTGTGCTGGGTCTTAGTTGCAGCAGGCAGGCTCCTTAGTTGAGGCTCACTGCTCCTTAGTTGTGGCATGCAAACTCTTGTTTGCAGAATGCATGTGGGATCTAGTTCCCTGACAAGGGATCGAACCCAGGACCCCTGAATTGCGAGCGCGAAGTCTTAGCCGCTGTGCCACCAGGGAAGTCCTGCAACAGGGACTTTATATATGTGATTAAGCTAATGATCTTGAGATGGACAGATTATCCTGGGTTATCCCGTGGACCCAGTGTAATCACAGGAGTATCAGAATCAAAGAAGGAGATTTGAGGAATGAAACAGATGTCAGAATGATAGTTGCTGACTTTGCCGATGGAGGAAGGGGCAAGGACTCAAGGATGCAGGAGGTTTTTTAGAAGTTAGAAAAGCTAAGGAAACAGATTCTTCTGTGGAGTTGCCAGAAGGAATATAATCTTGCTGACATCTTTTTTTTTTTTGGTCTTAGTTTCGGCAGGCAGGCTCCTTAGTTGTGGCATGCATGTGGGATCTAGTTCCCTGACCAGAGATCGAACCCAGGCCCCCTGCATTGGAAGGTGGATTCTTAACCACTGTGCCACCAGGGAAGTCCCAACCCTGCTGACATTTTGATCTTTAGCCTAGTGAAGCCCATTTTGGACTTACAACCTCCAGATGTAAGATGATAAATTTGAGTTGATTTAAGCCACCGAGCTACTAGTGATTTGTTACAGCAGTAATAGGAAACTTAATACAGTGTACAACTGGGAAATGGAAGAGAGCTCAGAGTAACTGAGGTGTGCATGTGGTTCTGGGTGCCCGTGATTTGAAGAAAGGAAAAGGGCCAGGTTGGGAGGGTTTTAAAGCAGGAATGGGGGCTTTGGCAGCGGGGACCACTAGAGGTTTGGGACAAGATAGCATCCTGATTGTATTGCCAAGTGTTCTCTCCATGCTGTGTACAGAGTGACATCTGGGGAGTCCAGGGTAATGTCTGTGGTGTGGGCCAGAAAGTTGGTTGTAGGTAGCTGAAGATGTGAGGCAGGCATGGTCCAAAGAGTGATACGCAGGAGAGGAGGGAGTGTAAACTGATTGGCCTAGGACCCTGTTGTTGGGGGCTTAAGTGAAAAGAGTGAGCGCAGGTTTAGGAAGTATGTCCAGGGAGTATGCTGTGAGGTTCCCCAGGGGAACTGGGCCAGGCTCAGAGCTTAAATGGCATCTATCTCCTAACCTGCTTGTTGTTGCTGTGGGCTGACACAGTGATCACTGGGGGTAGTCAGGAGAGAGAAAGGACCGATGGTATCAATGCCTGGTACTTCGTTTGAGTTGGGGACCTCGGGACATGGGTGAGCAGGACATTGTTTTGCGTAGGTAGAGTGGGGATACTCACTTGAGACACTTTTCATGGACCTTGCTGTCCCCATCTTTGCAGGGCTGTGCCATCTCTGAGGACGTGTTTGTGTACTTCTCCCGGGAAGAATGGGTGCTCCTTGATGAGGATCAGAGACTCCTGTACCGGGATGTGATGTTGGAGAACTTTGCACTTTTAGCCTTCCTGGGTAAGACCCTCACACCAACTCCATCTCCTTTCTCCTTTCCCACAGGGACAGCTCTGTCCTTCCCACACAGCTTTCTTGCCATGTTTCCTGGAGTAGGTGCCATGGCTGCCAGGGCTATGCTCTATGGCATGTCCTCACTTCTTACTGAGCAGCCCCGAAGCCACGCAGCCAAAGGTTTGGGGGTCACAAGACATAGTTTTTCCAATGGAACCCATAGTCTTGGTCACTTTCTGGGCTGGTGAATCTGTCTAGAATTATGACAC